ATTGTACCAAAAATAATAGTGCCCAGGTACCATGAAGGAGGGTAGAATATATTTTACAAGATACTGCGTCACATGGCCTAGAAAGGATGGAGCCATTTACCTCCCATTGCCCCATGCTTCCATCTGCCTTCCTTAGATCAGTCCTCTGTGCTGCCAGCTCTGTCAGCTAACAGTTCAGCCAACCAGACAAGAGGGATCTCCAAAACCCAGGTAATAATAGTAGTAGTGGCTTCCAAAGAAAGACCAATTCCAACACTACTAATAATGGCTCTTACATTGACACACACCTTAAATTCCAGAAAAAAATTTCTGGAAAAAAGAGAAAAGGCAAAGAATGTAAAGGCAGTCATAGGATGTGTGTATATGTGTAAGATTTTATTTTTCTATTGTCTTGCATTTCATTCTGATATGACATCCTTCTTATGTTTCCTTATTAAAAGATTTCTCCTTTTCCAGGAAAGTGGTGGTGATAATGGATGGTCATCGAATTAGTTAATTAATTAATTATTTTTTGATACCAGGAATTTATCCCAAGGCACTTAACCACAGAGCAACATCCCCAGTGCCCCCCTCCCCCTGTCCTTTTTTTTTTTTTAATTTTGAGGGGGGTCTCAGTAAGTTGCTTAGGGTCTCACTAAATTGCTGAGGCTGTCCTCAAACTTGTGATTCTCCTGCCTCAGCTGGGATTACAAGTGTGTACCACTGTACCTCCTGGTTGTTTGTTGCATTTTAAAATGTCAATGACAAAATAAGGAAACTGCTTTTTTTTTTCCTAAAATTTTCAGGTTACTGATTCATATTATGGGTTAACTAACTTCTATTCAAAAGGTCCCTTGTGCAATGTGAAAGACTTGAAGCCTCATAAGAAATCTCCCTTCAGAATAGTCCTTTGATTTTACTCATCTCTTGAAACTTATCCAGTGTTGAGGAGAAATGCATGGTTACTATCTTGGAGAACTTGTGTGTTATGACAACAACTAAAACAACTAAATACAGTTTTACAGATGTGACTTGATAGTTACTAGTGGTACTTTGATCTAATTGTTTTTGTTGAGATATGAAGCTATTATTCTTTGAATCTTTGCAGAGAGAATCTATAAATACCCGCGTTCTTAGGATGAGGATTCTAACAATTTGCTCTAAATTTTTAAATACCAAGTGATCATAAATATTTTGTATTAATTGGATATAAATTTATAAAAAGTACTTACTCTGTTCAGATATTAACAAACGTGATTTTTTTCACACATATTTTGATTTTTAGGGAAAAAAATTAAGATCCTGATTGAAATACGTCTCAGTGAGAAGAATGCTGGTCTGACTCTGGCCCTAGCTGGGGCCTTGACTGGCTATGTATGGGTCTTATGCAAATTACTTATCTTTCTGAGCTCTAGTTTCATCATTTAAAAATGAGGTGTTTGAGCTATTTCAATGCCTCTTTTGTCTTCTTTTCTCTTTTTTTCCCTAACTTTTGGTGGTTCTGGGGATTGAATCCAGGACCTATGTGTACTAGGTAAGTACTCTATCACGAGCTACACCCCCAGCCTTACAATTTTTTTGTCTTTAATCTCTGACATCAACATTTTTTTTCTCTAAGTAAGCAGCAGATGGCAATGTGAAAATAATTTTTTTAAAAAAAGCTTTTCATTTATTGTTTTCCTCTGTCAAAGAAGTTTTGCTCATTTCTTCTTAGAGCTCAAAGTTTTCTGGAAAGAATCATGATTTAATATTTTATCACATAATTGATTATGATATTATATTTTTACTTTACTTTTTTTGGTACTAGAAATTGAACCTAGGAGTACTCTACTACTGAGCTCTGTTCTCAGCCATTTTATTTATTTTTTTTTGGGGGGGGGGACAGGGTATCACTAAAAACCTGTAATTCGTGATCCTTCTGCCTCAGTTTTCTAAGTCACCACATGTGCCACCATGTCCCAAGATGTCATATATTTTATAAAATGATTAACTTTTATCACTAACTCCAGACACCCCGACTGTGTGGTTTTTGTGGCATTAATAAACGTTAAGGAACATACATTTAAAGTCTTATTTTGAAGATTCAACTTGAAATCTTTCGAGCGTGTCAGTAATAATCTCTCTGTGCTTCATTTCCATTGTGGCTGTTAAATTTATAAACAGTGACTCTCAGTGTCAATGCAGTTTGGTAAACAACAGAGAAGGGTCATGCCTTTATGTTGCCAGACATCCATTTATGAAATTTGATTCTTAAAACCATATCTATTTTTGAAACATCTAAGTATTTCTCATTGGGTATACAAACAGCTCAACTCTTGGATGTTAAGTTTCATCTTTCAAGTGGATTTTCAATTTTAAACACTGGTGCGGAATATTCCTCAGCCAGATGTGGTGGTGCATGCCTGTAATCCTAACAGCTGGGGAGGTGGAGGCAGGAGGATCCTGAGTTCAAAGCCAGCCTCAGCAATTTAGTGAGGTGCTAAGCAACTCAGTGAGACCCTGTCTCTAATAAAATACAAAATAGGGCTAGGGATGTGGCTCAGTGGTTGAGTGCCCCTGAGTTCAATCCCTGGTACCCCCCAAGCCCCAGAATATTCCTCTCTGTTTGTCATATAAATATGTCTGCTATTCTGCATTTGCTCACAGAAGAGGGCCTGAAAATGGCAGAAGCCAGTTCATGGCCAGAGAGGAATGTGGGTGATCCTTAGGTTGGAAGTTATGTGGTTTTAATCTCAATGGTCACAATTCAGTTTTAAATGTGTGTAAATCATGATATTGGGAAGAATGTTGGGCTTTGGGACATGGGATCCTGGCTCTGCCACTAACTAATAGTGTGAATTGGGAAGGCTTCCATTATTTCTCAGTCTAGGGTTACTTAAAAAAGAAGGAAAAGGCTGGGTGCAGTGGCACACATCTATGATCCCAGTGGCTTGGAAGCCTGAGGCAGGAGGATGGCAAATTCAATAATTTAGCAACTTATTGAGGACCTAAGAAATTTAGTGAGGCCCTCAGCAACTTAGTGAGACCCTGTCTCAAAAATTTAAAAGAAAAAAAAAGAAATTAAAAGGGCTGGAGATATAATAGCTCAGTGGTAAAGTACCCCTGGGTTCAGTCTTCAATACTGAGAAAAAAAAAGCCAACAGTACATACAGAAGTGTGCACATAGCATATGAGTAAAGCTTAATCAATTTTCATAAATAACATAGCCATGTAATCATTCTCATGCAAACCCAGAACATGAGCTGTACCTGGAACACAGTTCAACTGTGTATTCTTCTGGTTAGTACTCTTCCCCACTACAAGGAAAACACTATCCTTGACTTTTACCATAGATTTTTTTTTCCAGTACTGATGATTGAACCCAGGGTCACATTACCACTGAGTTTCATCCCAGTTCTTTTTATTTTATTTTTGTCTGTTTGTTTGTTATTCTAGTGTTGGGGGTGGAACCCAGGGGGTGGAACTGAGCCACATCTCAGTGATCTTTTAAAAAATTCTTTTTAGATATACATGATAGTAGAGTGTATTTTGACATATTATACATACATGGAGAATATCTTTCCATTCTTGTGGTTGTATATGATGTGGAGTTACATGGGTAGTATATTCATATATGAACATAGGGTTGAGACAGGGTCTCACTAAGTTGCTTTAGGCTCTCAAATGTTGCTGAGGTTGGCCTCAAACTTGTGATCCTCCTGCCTCAGCCTCCACAGTTGCTGGGATTATAGGTGTGCACCACCATGTCTGATCTAATGATCATTTTGCCTGTTTTTATACTTTTATGGTTGTAATTACATGGTTCATGCCTTTGCATTGTGTGTCTTTCAAGATGTTTGAGAAATTATATTCTTATCATTTGTGTAGTTGTAGATCATTTTTATTACCATAAGTAGTCCATTATAAATATAAATTGGAATTAACTCATATACTCTATTGCTGATGAATGTCTGAGTTACCTGATTTGAGCTGATTTTAAAGTCAGTTACCTGATTTTATTAATAGCTCTGCTATGAACATTTTAGTAGATGACTTTGGGTATAATAGTATTTCTTTTGGGTATATTCATAGAATTAGAACTTCTGGGTTTCACATTGTGTCATGTTCATCTTTAGTAGATTATGAGGATCCTGCTTGCTCTACATATTTATTAACAATATTGACTGCCTTTAGCCATGTGGGTAGATGTGTTTTTTGAAAATTGAAATTATAATCTGTACCTTGCAGTGTTGTTAACTCAGTTAAGGTATACTTCTCTGTGCTTCAAATGTTTTTTCTACTATGGACTTGGACAACTTACCAGAACTTCATTTTTCCTTCACTTAAAATGAGACCCTAATATCCTTTCATAGCTCTGTAATTCTGGTACAGTGTTAGTGGAATTTCACTATTATTTAAATTCCATTACATGAGCACTTACCTTCTCATACATAGAACAATAAATCCAGGTAGTGATCGGTTTTGCCAACAGTGCAGAGTAACACTATAAGGAGGGCACTTTCATTATTTTAGTTCTCAGATGAGGAAACTAAATCAAATGAGATAAAATAAGTTGTCCAAGATCAAATGACTAGCAGGTAGTTATGCTAGAATTTGAATTAAGTGACTCCAAAGCAACCCATTCTCCCTTCCTCTCCTGCTTTCCTTTCCTTTCTTTCCAGGAGTATTCTATCTCTGCTCAACATACCCACCCTGCTTTTAATTTTCCTTCCTTCCTTCTCTCCCTCCCTCCCTCCTTTCTTTCTTTTCTTTTCTTTTTTTTTTTTTAAGTTTAGGGACAGAGTCTTACTAAGTTGCAGAGCCTGGCCTCAAACTTGGGATCTTCTTGCCTCAGTTTCACGAGTAGCTGAGATTACAGGCATGCACCACCACACCTGTCATGGGGGTTATTTTTGTTGTTGTGTGTTTTATGATAGAAAAAAGGTCATCTTGAACTTATGATGGTTGGATCATATAATTGTGGGAAAGGGATTAATGTTAAGTAAGTGATGATTTCTTTCTTTCTTTCTTTTTTTTTAAAGGTCCTGTCTGCAGTCTCTGTGTCTCATCTTTTGGAGCAAGATCTGTCACAATCTTCAGTGGCTTCATGGTGGCTGGAGGCCTGATGTTGAGCAGTTTTGCTCCCAATATCTACTTTCTGCTTTTTTCCTATGGCATTGTTGTAGGTAAGGAGCTTGGTCACTATGACTTTTCTAACTTCACAAATCACACATCATTTCACCAGAGTCAAGATTATTATTCAATCAAGATAAGGAGTGAAAATGTTCAGTAATAATCTACACTCAGTGAAAATTCTCCAAAAATTGTTGCTTTAACAATGTATCTTCTCAGTGAATCAAAGTGTGTGAAAGGGAAGGCTGACTGGGGTTGTAACTCAGTGGTAGAGCTATTGCCTAGCACACACGAAGTCCTGGGTTTGATCCTTGACCACACATACGCACACACACACACACACACACACACACACAAATGTGTGAGAGGATGAGCATTTGAACAATCCACTTTATGTCTGCTTGTAAGGCACAAGAACGTTTTCATGCTAGCACTTGTCTTGCTGTAAGCACAAAAAAGGAAAAGCAAGAGAGGAGAAACATACAACTTAGATGTCATGGCATCTGTTGCTTCTCAGACCTAGAAGTGATCCCTTTCATATTAGGCAGTCAAGCAGGGCTCTGTTGAACCGTTTGTGTTACACAATACCTATTGCCAGGGTCTAAATCAAAAGTAACCGTGGAAGTATAAGGTAGATTTTATAACACATTATTTTTAAAGATAAGGCATGAACCAGGTGCAGTGGAGGGTGTTTGTAATTCCAGTGACTCTGAAGGCTGAGGCAGGTGGATCAGAAGTTCCAGGCCAGCCTGAGCAACTTAGACCCTATCTTGAAACAAAAATTAAAAAGGAGTAGGGATGTAGCTTAGTGGTTAAATTGCCCTGAATTCAATCCCTAGTACACCCCCTTCCAATAAAAAACAAACAAACAAACAAAAAACATAAATAAAGCATGAGAGTGAAGAAAACTGTGGTAGGGATAATTACTGATGAATGATCTTGGTTACAGAAGAGCCAAGAGTAGAGAGCTCATGACCTAAGGATGCTGACAATGGAGGTGGGTGGCTACACTTGCCAATGTGTTCCACTAATTGCATTCAATGTTAAGAATCACCAGACTCTGTGAGGTGGTACATGCCGGTAATCCCAGCTAAGGCAGGAGATCTTGGGCAACTTTGCAAGACCTTGCATCAAAATAAAATAAGAAGAGCTAGGGCATGGTGTAGTGGTAGAGTACTTGCCTAGCATGTGCAAGGTCCTGGGTTTAATCCCCAGTACTAAAAAATGAAAAAAATAAAAAACAAAATCACTGGACTCTATTCCTAATAGCTGTTGAAATTTGAAAAAGATGACCTATAACTTCCAAAAGTTTCATCTAAGTATCTGAAAGAACCTAATTTTGTTTACTACCAATATTCTTTTTTACTTGGAAATATTTCCCCAATAATGAGTACTGGAAATTATAGCAGCTAATATCATTTACACTTTGTGTGTGTGGGTGTGGTGCTGGGGCATCAAACCCAAGACCTTATGCATGCTAGGCAAGCCCTCTACCACTGAGCTACAGCCCAGCACCACCACCACCTCTTTTATTTGGCCAAAGAACCCTGGAACAATACAGGCATTATACCAACTATCATGTTTTTGTGTTTAAACTAAATATCAGGGTCTAGAGAAATGAAAGTTGGATGGGCCCCTTGGCCCGGTGGACCTATTATTAATAAGACCTGAGTCAGATCCCATATATTACCTGGCACTCAAAGGAGCCCACTCCAAGAGGAGGCCTTGTAAACTCCTCAGGTCCTTAGTTAGCAATGTCAACCCATTCATTCTGTATCCATCAATGCACAAAAGAATTTTCACTTTCCCCAGTATATAAATAAATAAGATGCGATAGCTATCTTCAGGGGAGAATTCAGATTGTCATTACTTACATACCTGTCATAGTGCCTACTGTAATATCCTTCCTTCCAAATCCTGGCCTCTTCTTAAGTTAAGGGTTCTGATTCAGAAAACAGGCCCATGTTTGATAGGTGGTGAATCCCAGAGATTAGGAGGAAGCGATCACTTTATGAAGCAAACAGTGGACTTCAGGACAAGAGATGTAGGTTCTATGACCTTGAAAAAGCCTTTTAATATTCATGAATGACCTTCCCTTCATCTGTGAAGACTGGCTATGAATCCTACCTCATATGGGTCTTGTGAGGGCTAAAGGAAGTCAAGCAACGTTAATAACAATAAAAAAGTAAAAGAATTGAGTTGGATTTCAATGAATGAAAAAATAAATCATTCACTGTGGTAATTGTTAGGGTCCTGCAAGCTATTTCTTGCTAGTGTATTATTAATACTTACTCCCATGATTGGCTTCTTTGTGGTTTTACTTTTTTATATGTTCATGATACGGGGCTCATAGAATATTTGTGGGACAGAGAAATGGGATAATGATGTACAATACCACTTCCATTCTGTCACCATTTGAAGTAATGTATCCAGTTGAAAAATAAATGGCAGGAAATTACTATACAGTCAAATTTCTCATCTCCTTTCTGTATCATGAGCTCCTTAGGGGGGAAAAAAACAAGAAAAGTTCAGTCTAAACGTAGCATTTACTGAACCCAAGTTTTGCGAAGAATCATACTCTAAGAACTCTCATGTGTGTGTAATGAGCTAGATGGCTTCATAAGACAGAGGGTATAGCACAGGCAAAGAGCTAATGCTAACAGGCAGGCTCTGGGGTCAGACCATGGGCTGCCTTAGCCAATTCCTAGCTGTCAGTCTGTAAACATGTTTCATGACTTCTATTTCTTCTATTTTCTTGTTTGTTTTGGGGTAGTGTGGATTGAACCAGTGAGATATATCCCCAGCTCTTTTTATTTTTTATTGCAAGATAGGGTCTCCTTAAGTTGCCGAGACTGATCTTGAACTTGCAATGCTCCTGTCTAAACCTCCAAGTTCACTGGGATTGCAGGCATGTGCCACTGCACCCAGCTGTTCCTTTATTCTTAAGTTCCTTTTTGACTTCAAGACTATGGCAGCAGTTTTGGCTGTCCAAGAGGCTGTATTGAATCATAAGTATTTGTGTAATCGATTAAAGAATATTAAAAAAGAAATCAAACCTATATTGGATATCTAATTTCAACCTAAAAGGCCAAAATAATTACCAAAGTATATTAACTGGCATAATTCTCTTTAATAGTTGATCTTTTAAAAAATATCATCTTAAAAATATGTTATCCTGTTTAGGTTTTTTTCTTTTTCAGCTCAAATAAAATTGTGTCTAGTTTTCAAATAACTGTAAGCCTTACAGTCAATCCTGGTAATTTAGACTCCTATTTTCTCAATAACTTTACTAAATCAGAAGAAGACAGTGTGGTGTGAGATTGGAGATTAGATGGGACAGGGGATGGTAATGTAGAAAATGTACCATTAGTGAATTGCTGAAGTCTCTTTCTAATAATTTTTTTTTTCTGAAAAGCATAATTCCAAACTAATTTGTTTCTGCAGAATTCTCTTTTCTGTGGAATATATTGTCTTTTGGCTGCTTGATTATGATTTTCTTAATACCCCCTTCTTGATTTTTGGAAAAATCCGATTTCTTTTCCTTATTCTTCCTTCATTTTCTATCTTTCCTTCTCCCTTCCTCACTCCCTTCCTCCCTCCCTTCTTTCCTTCCTCTCTTTTTGGTACCAGGGATTAAACCCAGAAGCACTTAACTAAGGGGAGGTCACCATTACCTCACCAGGGGGTCCTTTTTCTTGCTCAGGAGGGTATAAGCCACTGGAGAAAATAAGTCAGAAATAATTAGTGAAAAAATAAGAAACAGAGTCAGAATTATAGTTTTGAAGCAGAGTGCCTGAGAGATCCAGTCTACACAGGAGCTGGAGCTGGACAATTAAAATTTGGCTCCCGTGATTTATTTAAGGGAGTACATCAAAGGCAGGGATAAGGTTTCAGGGGTGGAGTCTTGCTTCTCTAAGCCCTGCAGTCAGCAGGTTGATTGGCATCTTGGCAGGTCACACCTATCTCTGAGAGGCTGTGTGGCTGTACCAGGTTACCCCATCTCCAGTGCTGTGTGGGACCAGGCAGAGCTGAATAGAAATTCACATGTATTTGGGCTATCTTACCTTGTGCGATTGCCACGGGAAGTTACCAAATACCAGATGTTCCTATTCAAAGGCTACAATGCCAGTGTAGTTCACACATAGCCCATGGATGGCTCTCAACACTTAATCACTAAGCCACATTCCCAGTCCTTTATATTTTTAATTTTAAGACAGAGTCTCACTGAGTTGCTAAGGACCTTGTCAAATTGTTGAGTTTGATCTTCCTTAATTTTCTTGATATCTGTATAATCCACTGATATAGAAGGAGAAAAACTCATTTTCATCTGACTTTCTTACTCTAATTGTGGCAAAAGTAGAATTTTACAAGCCTCTCCTCCACTCCTCCTTTTAAATGGTTATATCATTAAAGATAGTCTTTTGATCATCATGGATATGCAGTTGTAGTAAGGAACTAAAATTTTCTAATACAATCTGAGGTTAAATCTATACAATGCCATAAAACTATAGAATTATAAATGTAACACAATAAGTACAATAGTGAAATGAAACCAGCATTCAGCACTGGTGTACTATGTATGTGCAGGAAGAGGGTGTGGAAATGTAAAGGAGTCTTAAAGGACAGCTGAATATCCATTGGAAGGGTAGTTTGAGGAAGACATTTCAGAGCCCAGATGCTTAGAAGCATGAGATAGAATGGATAACAGCAGTCTCTCTCTCTCTCTCTCTCTCTCTCTCTCTCTCTCTCTCTCTCTCTCTCTCTCTCTCTCTCTCCCTCTCTCTCCACAAGTCACATGGGGAACTGTAAATATATCAAAGCATGGTGCACAATAGAGGCCTGATGAGAAAAAGTTTTATGTAGTCTTTATTGCAGGAGCACTATGTAATGAGTACCGCTGGAACGCAGCTTAGGTTGGCGGGGACAGCATTGGAGGTTGAGACAACTACTAATTAGGAGGCCATAGTCAGATCAGAAAAGCTGGAGGAGGTCAGCTGAGGCAATAGCAGTGCAGGGAGAGATGATGGTGGTTGATAATGCAGAGAGTGGGTGCAATAAACAGCTGGATGTGCTAACCTAAATAACAATCAGAGAGAGATTCTCTAAAGATCAGTTAAGCTTATTTGAGAGTATACTATCATTGAAATGGGGATATTCATGCCTCAGAAAATGATGAGCATATTTAAGGAGGATGAAGGAAGGGGAAGTTTTTAAAGGTGAAATGAGGAGGATTATATAGGATTTTTGGAACAAGGATCCTTGGCTACAAGAATCAATAACAAGGGTGACATCTGTCCAGTTGTTGGGCAGATGTCCTTGCAGAAGATTTTCCTCCTTCCTTCCTTTCCTTCTCTCCCTTCCTCCCTCCCCTGCTCTCTCTCCTTCCCTCCATCTCTCCTTCCCTCCCTCCCTCCCTCCCTTCCTCCCTTCCTCCCTTCCTCCCTTCCTTCCTTCCTTCCTTCTTTCCTTCCTTCCTTCTTTCTTCTTTCCTTCCTTCCTTCCTTCCTTCTTTCCTTCCTTCCTTCCTTCCTTCTTTCCTTCTTTCCTTCCTTCCTTCCTTCCTTCCTTCCTTCCTTCCTTCCTTCCTTCCTTCCTTCCTTCTTTCCTTCCTTCCTTCTTTCTTTCTCTCTTTCTCTCTCTCTCTCTCTCTCTCTCTCTCTCTCTCTCTTTCTTTCTTTCTTTCTTTCTTTCTGGTTCTCATGGCGTTTTTGCAGAGTTGTAGATCTGGCAGTATCTTTTGTGAATAGTTCTTGCATTCATGCATGAGATCCTCTCTTTTATAACTTCCCACCTTTATTTAGTTTCCGGTTATACATGGACAAAAGTGACTCTTTTTTTTTCTGACATCTTTTATAAATATGAGGAGATGGGGAAAAGGAGGCCTCTGGAATTGTGGTCTTACCCAAAGATGTGTGAAATCAAACAAAGAATGCGGAAAATAAATGTTAGAACATCTAACTAGATTTAGTTTTAATTATTTAAGCAAAGGGAAACAATTTTATTTAACTCATGTTTTATGCTTTGAATTGTCAGCAGTGTGGATATTTTATTTTAAAATTATGCTTCTACTGGAGATCGATGCTCATCAGTTTTTTGAGTCTGATCAAAACTGATTAGGACCAGGGAACGCTTTAAAGCAGTAGTTACCAGATGTTTTCATCTTACTTTCTTATTTAGGACCTCAAGGAGCTTTTGATTATGTGGATTATATTTTTCTTTATTCTATAAGAATTTACTGCATACAAGATAAGAAATTTAAAAAATATTTGCTTAGTAATTCATTTAAAGAAAGCAAACCCAGTACATGTTAACATAAATAACACATTTATTATATGAAATAACTGTTTTCTAAAACAAAACAAAATTCAGTGAGAATTTAGTAAGAAGAATGTTTTTGTTATTGTTGCTTTTTTGTTTGTTTGTTTTGTTTTATTTTGTTTTGTAGTGCTAGGGGTCAAATCCAGATCCTGGGTTTGCTAGGCAGGTGCTCTTTCACTGGGCTACACCCCCAGCCTGAGAAGAGTGATATTGTTTTCAAACTTTTGAAAATCTCTTAGTACCTAATTTCATAGAAAACATGGATTCTCATATGTATACCAGTACTGACTCTGTTGCAATATGTTTTTTAACTCATGTTTTATGCTTTGAGTTTTATGAAGAAAATTTGATCTTACAAAAAGATGTAGGTAGAAAAGGGAAGTGTCTTTAATAGCTTTTTCAGTCAAGTGGACATATTCTTTGATACTATATGAAAATTCTGTAGGAGATAGTTTCCTAAAAGATTAATTGCAATGTGCACCTGATACCACATCAGTATACATTTTTGTACTTTGTTATATTAACCCCATTTATTTTGTAACTTGATTATTTTTTTCAAACTTGACTTTATAACAATTATTATTATTTATTTATTATTTATTTGAAAAACATTAGTTTTCTAAGTAATGCAAGAACTTTAAAAATATTAAGATATTTCATTTTTACATCAAAAATCACTTTCGTTAACATTACCAACAAGCTCATTAGAAAATCTTTATGTGTTGGAAAGCTATAAAATTCATGGTGCAAGATACAAGTTTTCTAAAATTCTATTTTTTTTTTAAACTGGAAAATTTGGCTTTTATCACTGGTGGTAATTGCTGTCGCTTGCTTCCCTTGTTAGTCCATTTTTAAGGAAATATCTGCCAAAAACACAGAGTGAATAATCACAGTTTATTTATTAGACATTGTACAAATAAAAAACACAGGGTTATATAAAAAAAACAGTGGCTATTTTAGCTGGCTACTGAAACAATTGCTTAAGTGTTTGTCTTTAGAGCAATTTTTATAAAACAGACGAAGCATTTAAAGCAATTTTGTTTGATTTCACTGTGAGTGTGTGGTGGTAAAGCCTATGAGATATGAAGTTTGGTACAAATACCTTGATTTCTGCTAAGTCTTTTGCAATTTTTTGCCATCTTTTTCTGTACCATCAGCATAAATATGAACACAGTGAAAAAAGTAAACAACATCTTGGCATTCTTGTAACAATATTTTTGGCTTCATGGACTCCATGAGTGCATCTCAGAGACTGTAGTTCTTCACAACCTCTCTTTAATAACTGTTGGCTTAAGATCTTCCTAATAGAGGAATGAGAGTAATGTGCTACTTTCTGCATTTCTGAAAACTTTGAAGAAAATGCATTTTAAATTTCTGCTCTGTTAAAAAAAATAAATAGCATAAACATTAGGAAAATGCTATTAAAAGCACAAAGAAAATAACTGGAAATACAGAGTACATAGTATTACAAAATGCTAAGAATTCTAAATCAGTTATCTTTTGAGATTTTCATGCATTGTTAAAAATAGTTTCCATTAATAATGGAATATAGTTTCCATTAATAATGCAGTTGAGATGATTTCTCCTTGAGTGCATTGCAACTTCTGGAAATCAGTAAAATTCAAGAATAAATTTAAAAAAACAAATGCAAAAAGTGAAATAATCTTATTTGACATCCATGAACTTGAAATTATTTTTCAAAAATTCTATGTAACCTAAGGTTAAAAATTTAAAAGTTGTTGTCTCAACATTGTGGGCATTGGCATTTAGAAATCTGAAATGTCTTTTTTCATGTTTCCAATGCCACATATTTAATAGAACCCTGACAATCAAATCACAGAAAATTAAATCCATTTCTCCTCCAAAAGCATTCAAAAAGAGTTTCAGTTAAGGTTGACACTTTCTGGTTTCACAAAATTGACTTTTTAGAACTAGTATTACTTTACATCATGAAGTGTTTTATATGTTGTAATGACAGCTGTATAAATTAATCCAATTAATGTTTAAATTAGTGAGATTTTTTCCCCCTCAAACATACAAAAATAAAGTATTATGGTACTGAGGATTGAACCCAGGAGCACTCTACTACTGAGCTATATCCCCAGTTATTTTGTAAAATTGTTATTGTTATTATTATTATTATTATTATTATTATTAATTACTTTGAGCAGGGTCTTGCTTTAATCCACCTGCTTCAGATTCCTGCATCACTGGGATTATAGCCATGCACCACTGCCCAACCTGGAAAAGATCTTAATTCACTTAATGGGTCATGGTTAAAATTCAGTTTTTCGCTTGGCTTAGAGTGAGCCTCAAAGTCATAATGTTGAAAATGACAGGCAAAACGTAAATGCATTAGAGAAAAAGGAGAATTTTGTGAAAAATAAACTGGGGTTATCAGATACTTCATAGAGAGAAAAAGATTATGCTAACAAACAATATAATATAATCTGGAGATAAATATCACCCTTAAGACTCAAGAAGGGAAATTTAGTTGTAAGATTTTTTTAATGATGAAAATTTTCAAATTTACAGGACATTACAGAATAGTATAGCAAATAATCATACTTAAATAACCACTACTTAAATTTAACAATTTTTAGTATTTTATCATATTTGCTTTTTTACACCCAAAGTTGCTTTAGACTAAATTAAATGCATCATCACCAATGCTTCTTCTAAGTTATAAAGTGTGCATCCCTAAAAGATGAAGACTTACAAATATTAATTGTTCTGTTATGAGATGATTGAGCACCCCAGAAGTACTGCCTGAGACCTTTGCTTTGCAGACTGGGTGATAAGCCAAGTTCCAACAAAATAGCTTTTGAAAAGGGGTTATCTAGAAACTGTTTAGGGTACCTAGAGGAGTAACACTGAGTTAGAGGCATTGACTTGAAAGAAAAACAGATACTCAATGGGCAAGTTTGGTTAAATTTTACTAGTTGGTGTATATTTGAACCATTTTCTCTGTCTCCTCATAATGTCTTAAATGACATTTGCATGATTGATTTATGCTTTAGAAATTAGATTTTTAAAAATTTGACCCTGACCTTAAGATAGGTGTAGGGTGAAAACTGCCCAATTTTTTCATTGGGGCATCAGAAGTAACACAGATGGAGGGGTCCAAGAACCTGAACTCTGAGGTTTTATCCAGCAGTAGCAATGTCCTGTTGGAAATACTTGGTTGTTTCTTTCTTCTTTCTTCCCTATTTCTTTTTTCCGATCCTCTCCTTTCCTTTTTTTTTTTAATTGAAGTATTTCAATCTGTCTTAATATGTGTAATATATTCTTATGCTTAGGTCTCGGATGTGGCTTATTATACACTGCAACAGTGACCATTACGTGCCAGTATTTTGACAGCCGACGAGGCCTTGCACTTGGCTTGATTTCAACAGGTACACTTTCAAAATAAGTACAATGTTACCACTAGTCATCCCTCTAAACAAAAGTTACCAAGCACAGATATGTTCAACCAACCACTACCCAGCTAACAATCAGTCAGCAAAACTGTTGTTTACTCTACTCCTAGAAGGAAATTTCATTTTCCACTGTAAATAGAGGAGTAACTTTCAAAGAAGCCCTAAAATCACTGGGTATTGTGGCACACACCTGTAATCCCAGCAACTTGGGAATATGAGAAAAGGAGAATGGCAAGTTTGAGGCCAGCCTCAACAACTTAGCAAGGCCCTGAGCAACTTAGTGAGACTCTGTTTCAAAATTTAGGAAAAGGGGCTTAGGATATAGCTTAGTGGTAAAGCACCCCTGGGTTAAATCCATAGTACTAAAACCAAACAAGCAAACAAAAACCCCACTAAGATGCATATATGAAAATTCTGGGGCATTGTATGTACAACATCATATATAAAAAGGAAGCTTATGGGCCCAGTATATTGAGAGCCCCATGCTGGGAGGGCTTTGCTAAGAGAAGCAGAGAATGCTGTATAGAATGCTTATTCTTGAGAAGGAAAATGAATACTCCCAGAGCCACTGTCAGAGACTGCTGGCCGTCTCTACACCTCAGAAATAGCACAGTGGTGTTTTACTTTTCAGATTATTCTTTAAACTGTTTAGTGAACTTAGCAAATTTTTTGTGGCCAATATTTTATGAGCATCTTGAGAGGATATAGCTGTCATCAAAAGCTGTAAGTTTACATAAGCTAATTGTTCATAGGCAGTATTCCTTAGAGATCAGACTTCAAGATAGGCTGAAGAACTTCAGTATTTATTCTGGCAACAGGATCCACACTAATTTTTGTTAGTATTGCCACGTAGGAGCAATAAGATTTGTGGTTCAACTGAATTGAGTTGAATATTTACCCCCAGTAGTCCTATCTCCCCACCCCCCATGCTGGGGATTGAACCCAGGTATGCTCTACCATGAAGATACATTTCTAGTCCTTTTTCTTTTTTCTTTTTTTTATTTTGAGGCAGGATCTTCTAAGTTGCTCAGGCTGGCCTCAAACTTGCTATCCTCCTACCTTAGCCTCCCTGGTCTCTGGGATTGTAGGCCTGCGATATTGTGCCCACTTACCCACAGCAGTTTAAGGAAGCATTGCCAGGTGGGAAATGTGAACCATGGTCCAGGAGGAGACATGTCCAGAGTCTGAGGACATGGTTAAAGCAGAAATGGGAGAAGAAATCCAAAACACAGATGATGGGGAAATCAGAGCAGTTGGAATGCAGTTTAAAGAACCTGTCAGTGACCTGAACTGGTCAGTATCCCCACATGTACACAAGAGGGTGAGAGTAGGCATGGAAACTTAAAGGACAAAAGATATCACCTGAATGGTATTTTTTTTTTTTTTGTGGAGGCAAAAAAATAGACCCTGGAGCCAGACTGCCGGATTTTGAATCTTGATTGTTACTCACTAGCTGTCTGGTGTTGGATCACATACTTAACTATTGTGTTTTTCCATTTTCTGAATTAAAAAATGGGGATAGTGCTACTAGCCATCATATTAAGTTATTAAAGATAAAAAGGAGTGTATGTGTAAGACACAGGGTGAGGGTTCTAAAAGTACCAGTCATTAAAATTGACTGAGGTTTCCCTTAATGACCAAATTTACTTGTGTTGAAGATGTTGGAGATTGTATGCTGTGAAAGTGACTTTTGCTTTTCACTCAGTCTAGATGGCAGGACACAGGGGCTGTGCCTCATTGAATCAAAATGGAACAATTATGAACATTCAGATTTGAAGGCATTTTCAATTTCAGCTCAGGAGAGCTAGGTGAGGTGAGATTAAGAAGAGGCATGAATCTACCTTCAGTGAAAGTAATCTACCTTCAGGCAAGCAAAAGAAAAGTCACTGTAGAAATTTTTTTAATTAAAAAGAAACCGCAAATCAAAATATCTTAAATATTTTTGATTTAGTTGAAATGAAGAAAAATGTAGGCAGAAAACAAAATTTTGGGTACACCATCTTTCTCTGTGGTAGACAGGGGTTGGTAAATGGACGCCCAAATATCAATTCTGGTGCACTGTTTTTTATATGCTTCAGGAGCTAAGAATGGTTTTGACATTTTCAAAAATCAAAAGAAGACTATTTCATGGCACATGACAATTATATGAAATTCAGTGTCCATAAATAAAGTTTTATTGAAATTCAATTATGCTCCTTCCTTAATGGATTGTGTCTGGCTATTTTCATGCTTCACTGGCAGAGCTGAGTATTTGGACAGGTTTTATAGAGACCATAATGCCTTAAATATTTACTCTCTGGCCCTTTACAGAAAAAGTTTACTGACCCGTGGTGCCAATGAGTTAATCAACACATGAGTTTGATTAACTCATGTTTCTCAGTCATGCTGTTTCAGTTTCTCTGAGCACCAATTAATATTTTCCCTCTTTGTAATAATGTAAAACCTAGACAAGAATGAAAGCAAAATTAGTGTTTTATTTCGCTTAGTTCTGTACATGACCATTTTTCCAATTAGGTTGTTCTTTTTGAAAATTTAAAATTAGAGTCTTATAATTTATAAAATTGCACAAAGAAATTCTTAGATTTCTGTCCCTTACCCTGAAAGAATTCCTGCATCTTTTAAAACCATAGCCATGTTCTTGTAGGATGTAGCCTGAGGTGTATAGTTTGATTTTTTCCCTCATCTGTCATATAATTAGCATATCATAGGTATCTAATAAGTATCTATTTGATATGTTTTCTTATATTTCAAGATGTTGGCAGATTAACTTGGTTGGCAAACAATGAGAAAGTTATTTTTTTCTTGATTAAGGTCAATACATAGAACATTCCAAACACCAAGAACTTTTTAAAGTATATAATGGTGTCACATTTTGTTCGAATCTGTACAAAGTTAGTGGTAGGGAAAAATCATAATTGACAGTTAATGGATGCTAATGTAGAACAATGGTCCATGTAGTTTCCCTGCTACATTCAATCATTTTAATTTGTCATGTTCCACTTTTACAAAGATAAAGAGTTAAATTTTTCTTCTATTACTCTCAACAGTCAGTAAAGTTCTACAGTAGGAGGAAAAATGCAAGGGCACTTACTCTCCCACCAATGGTACTATTTCAGCTGCCAATACATTAACCTGAGTCATCAATTAATGTCTGCATGAAAAGAATTATTTCCTCCTTTGGGAATTAAGGAGTAAAGTAGAAAGGGACAACTGAGGTCTCTAAGAAAACAAATTTCTTACAACTCCATGACACTGAGCTATTCAGTTATTTATAAAATCAAGTTTTTTAAAAAATAACATGGGTTTTTACAACAAGCATGTCCATGTCATCATTTATGTGTCAGAGCATATTTCCACTTGTGTCTTGTTGGGGTTATAATATAATTTGATAGATATCCATTTTAAATATATGGTCAAATTGTGTAGACTTTTAAAAAACTGATCTGTTTATATTTCTCCTGCTTTTTCATATGACATTTTCCAATGATACTTAAATTTTAAAATACTTGATGTTTAACTAAAACCAAAATTAGAACCAGATGAGAACAGTACAAATTAATTGAGTCAATATAACTTGGCATTCTGGTGTGTTTAGTATGATTAATGCTGAAAAGGAGGCATATATGTCCTACTACATGATATACAAAACACCACACTTTGTAATTAAAATACTGTATCAAATTCTACTTTACTCTTCTCCAAATTTTGTAATGTGTTAAAATATGAATCAGTCATTCTAGTGATTTAGTAATGGATTTTAGCTAACAAACTACTATAAATATCCTAAAACTAACCTAAAACTAAGCTGTATTTTTCGTCTCAAAAATAAAATATGAAAATTTGCTTTTTCGGTGGCGATAAATACATGTTTCATGGGGTTTGGCACATAATAAATGCAAAAAGTAGTTACATAATGATATTTGTTAAGAATATGGGCTCCTGGAATCAGACCAATTGAGGATGAATCCTACTCATTATTTATAGCTTTGTGATCTCTGGCAAATTTCTCAAGCTTTCTAGTCCTCAGTTACTTCATCTGTAATTTAGAGATAATAACAGGAACTACTCAACAGGATTATTTAAAGGATTAAATAGAAAAAACTATTAGCAGAATTATATAAACATTGTATATCAGTATTACTGTTGTTGCAATTGTTATCTTTAATATTCTTGTGATTTTAACATGGAGGTACCTATGAATATCAGAGTAAATATAAATTGAATTGTGATAAATACTAATGTTTGTGCTGAGAGCCCCAAATTATAGGAAACTAAGACTAAACAACCCCCATTTCCCTTTCAGGTTCAAGTGTTGGCCTTTTTATTTATGCAGCCCTACAGAGGATGTTGATTGAGTTCTATGGACTAGATGGGTGCTTGCTGATTGTGGGTGCTTTAGCTTTAAATATATTAGCCTGTGGCAGTCTGATGAGACCCCTCCAGGCTTCTGATTGCCCTTTACCTGAAAAAACAGCTCTGGAAAATGTGGCAGAGACATACTCCATTTACAGTGAAAAAGAAAAGAACCTGGAAGAAAACATTCACATTCTTGAAAAGAGCTATAGTAGCGAGGAAAAGTGCAAGGGCACTTTGGCCAATGGTGACTGGAAACAGGACAATCTACTTCATAAAAACTCCACATCAATGACTCACACAAAAGAGCCTGAGACATACAAGAAGAAAGTTGCTGAACAGACATATTTTTGCAAACAGTTTGCCAAGAGGAAGTGGCAATTATATAAAAACTACTGTGGCGAGACGGTGTCTCTCTTTAAAAACAAAGTATTTTCAGCTCTTTTCATCGCTATCTTCCTTTTTGACATTGGAGGGTTTCCACCTTCATTACTTATGGAAGATGTAGCAAGAAGTTCGAATGTGAAAGAAGAGGAGTTTTTTATGCCTCTTATTTCCATTATAGGCATTATGACGGCAGTTGGCAAGCTCCTTTTAGGAATACTGGCTGACTTCAAGTGGATTAACACCTTATATCTTTATGTAGCTACCTTAATAATCATGGGCCTGGCCTTGTGTGCAATTCCATTTGCCAAAAGTTATGTCACATTAGCAATACTTTCTGCGATCCTGGGGTTCCTTACTGGTAACTGGTCCATCTTTCCATATGTGACCACGAATACTGTGGGAATTGAAAAACTAGCTCACGCCTATGGAATACTGATGTTTTTTGCTGGACTTGGAAATAGCCTTGGACCACCAATTGTTGGTAAGATATTTCTCTTCAAGTCAATTCACTTTTACTATTCTTCATTGTGACATCTCCAGATAAAGAAATACAGATTGTGATAATAGTGCAGATTTGCACAACATTATTCAAGATCACTTTGATATAGTTGAGGAACCAAACATACTTTCTCCGGCGTGGCCCCCATTCTTTATTTGGGAGAAATGTCTGCCCACCCATGTTAGAAGTAAGTGGGGTAACATATAGAAAATTTTCCTAATCCTAACTGCATATAAAATTGATGAACTTGGATATGGGGTTGGTATTCGTACTATTTCTATGAGACTCACTTTTTTCTTACTGTCATTTCAGGTTGGTTTTATGACTGGACCCAAACCTATGACATTGCATTTTATTTTAGTGGCTTCTGTGTTCTGCTGGGAGGTTTTATTCTGCTGCTGGCAGCCTTGCCATCCTGGGATACCTGCAACAACAAACTCCCTAAGCCAACTCCAACAACATTTTTGTACAAAGTTGCTTCTAATGTTTAGAGGAATATTGGAAGCCATTCTTTTGCCATTTTATACCATAGAGCAAAACATATTTTTTAAAAATTCTCAAGCAAATTCTCTACAGTTAAAGACTGTTTTCTCACAACAAAATTTCACTGTGGCTGACTCTGAATGTGGATTTTTTTAAAACAGATTTTATTCTTTATGTACTGTATGTGTAGCCTCTGTCTCCTGTATGTTTCCCCTCCCTCCCTCCCCCAAAGTAGACTATTCTGTTCTACTATTATTCATTAGTTTTTCATATTGTAAAACATTTGACCAGCCTCTGAAGATTTTCTCTGCGTAAAGAAGTATAAATTCTTTGCCAACCCCCCTTAGTTCCACTACAAAACACCCAGAGGACTCTCTTCAATTTTAAAATTGATGCCTGCTGGGTGTGGTGGCACACACCAGTTATACTTTCTGGAACCCAGGAGGCTGAGGCAAGAGCATCTTGTGTTCCAGGCCAACCTGGACAACTTAGTGAGACCTTGTCTTAGAATAAAAGATAAAAAGGCCTGGGATGTAGCCCATTGTTAAAGTATCCCTAGGTTCAATCTCCAGTATCCCCCAAAATTAAAAATAAAAATAAATAAAACTGATGCAAGCCTCATGATGGGAGATGTGTGAAGGTCACTAGGAAGTAAATGACTTCCTTCTCTGTTACACCTGCTGCTAGTCAGTAGAAGACATCAAAGCCATTTCATTTCTGGAAATAAAAGTGGTTATAAAAACAACATTAAGCCAGGCATGGTGGTGCATGCATGTAATCCTCATGACTCAGGAAGCTGAGGCAGGAGAATTGCAAATTCTAGGCCAGTCACAGCAATTTAGTGAAAGCCAGTCTCAAAGTAAAATATAAAAGACTGAGGATATAGCTCAAGGGTTGAACACCCCTGGGTTTAATCTCCAGTACTATCAAACAAACAAACAGACAGAAAATAGCATTAAAACTTGCAGTGGAACAAACTGATCACTTAAAAAAATTTTAAATTATAGTCATCAGTTTCCATTATTCTGTTTTATTTACCTTGAACTACTCACATGGTGTTTGGGGCCCATGGTGCATCAACTGTTTTGATTCCTAAGATGTTTGCTGAGATGCAGGCAAACTCCAGCAGCAGCCACCAGAGCCCTTCTTCATGGCTGTCCACTAGAACCTCACTCACTTGTGTTTGTCATCATCCATTCAGCTGACATTTCACAAGAAGTGCTGATTTTACCCATTTCCAAATTGGAAATGTATTTTTTAACCATTCCTCCTAGCAAATAGGAAATATCCATTTGCTTTGGGCACAGTGGTGATGGGTTGCAAACCTTTGCATAACTTCCTGAAAAAGCATTTATTTGCTACTATCAGATCTTACCACTATCACTTTTTAATTCAAGGGCAGAACTAAAAAGTGTGTGGTGTGTGTATGTGCATGTGTGCGTGCATGTGTGTGTGTGCTCTGAGTCTGTGTGGAACATGGGAAGGTAAAAAAAATCCTGATAAGTTGATACCCTTTCCAATCTCACTTAATCTTAAGAACAATGTTCTAGAAAGAAAATAATGTTTAATAAATTGATAGCTTTTCCCTCTAAAGAAATGGGGTTTTAAACTTTGGCATGTATCTGAATCTCCTATAGATCCTTCAAAAATTATAGGGACATGGATATGCTTAGAAATTTTAATTCTGAATGTTTTAATTCTGTAAGTCTATTTGGCTGTGGCCAAGCATCTCTATTTCTAACAAACTCTACAAATGATTCTAATAATAAGGCCTGGGTTGCAAATGACTGTTAAAAAGATTGACAATAAGTAGACATTTATTCTCTTAAAAAAACAAAAACAAAACCACAAGGTCTGAGGTTTTTATAAATAGCCAAGTATTCTTTCAACAGAATCCTTCCCATTGTGCCAAAATTGTCTTTTCATTTCTTTTGAAATACATGATTATTTTTGTACTTCTGTTTTGCCTTTCTTCAAAGGCATCTGAGGCACTTTATTAATCTGAGCCCTCGCAACACCTCTGTGAGGTAGGTAAATAGTACTTTCCTGTGTAGTAAACCTGGAGTATGGAGAATTCATAATTGGAGTTAATCCTACTCAGTATGCAATAAAGGGGCTCCAAGTCCTCTTGGACTTCTGCTCCATACTCAGACTTCTGGAAAGTTTTCTGTACCTCATTCTTTAGTCGGTTTCAAGGTTAGCAAAATAAATGAACGAGTGACATTTAAAAGAAAAAAAAAACAGCTACATGTTTTTGTATTGAAAGTTCCTTTTTTGCCAATGTTATGTTCTAGAAAGTAATCTGAAAAAGTTTGACTTTTGTGATGTCTCTGCATTCATCAATGTTGATAATTATCCAAATGTATCCACCGTGTCTACTAATACCATTCAACGTGGGCATTATCCATTGTCTAGGGAATGAATTTTAAGTCACAATAAATATTTTTACATCAGTTTGTTTTGTATCAGTTTGGTTGCTTTCTGTCTTATTAGTTTTCTTCTCAATTATAGTGCCACTTCACTTGAATGCAAATATACATTTCATAATGTAATTCAGACTTCCAGAATTTGATGACCAGGTAACAGAATATTCAAAAGTCAAATTGCTTAACTAATTTGATCATTGCCTGCCCCAAAGTTAATATATCAGACCTGCAGAATCCTCTTGAGGAAAAGACAGATTATTTTTAGATTCTTAATAATGATCCCACCAATCATTTAAGGCTTTTTTTTTTTTAAGATGAGGTCTTGGTATGTTGTCTAGGCTGCCCCCAAACTCTTGCCTCAGTCTCCCAAGTAGCTGGTACTACAGTGAGACAACAAGTGCATGCCACCATGAAAGCCTAAACATTTTTGGAATTCTTTTTCTTTTTTACACTACTGGGAATTGAGCCCAGGACCTACACATACATTACACAAGCTCTCCACCACTGAGCTACATTACCTTTCCATTTTCTTTAGAGACAGGGTCTCACTAAATTTCCCAGGCAGTCCTCAAACTTGCGACCCTTCTGCTAGTTATATAAATAATTATTCAGGACTTGCCCTTTTTCCTAAGATTTAGCATTCAAAAAAAATACTTAACAAAATCATATTGATTGGAATAAAATATTTCTTTTTTGACTTGAAAGATACTTTTGGACCCTGGAAGTGCCTCAAGCTGAGTTCAGGAAGTATGGTGTAGAGTTTGTCAGTCGCCCTCTGCCCTGACTTTTTTTTTAGCAGTTCCTTACTCCTTTCTGCCTCCTCCCTCTCAGGATGAGCCTTAAGGAGCCAGGTGCTGATCTCATTGTCTCTAGGGCAATCTTGTTTTCAGGAGACAGTTTCAGCCACTAACTTGTAAAGGCCCCGTGAGGAACAATTCCCAACTACTGCAATTCAGCATGAGGAGTTCATGACTGGATGGCAAGTGCTGATCTAGAAGTTCCATGACCTCAGGTAACCTCAACACCATCAGGATGTTCCAGGAAATGAAAGAGAGCTCTATTTTGAAGGAAATAATTCTTACTTTTACTGAGAAGGAGTAGTTCATTAAACACAAAAAACACAATTTACATTAGCAGTGCTATACCATTTTTTCTCTCTGATCAAAATCTTGGGACCTTTTGCTGTCTGATTAATTTTGTCAGAAGTGCAGTTAGTAAGATCCCTCTTTGAGTTTGGAGTTAGCCCAGCCAGGTGAAATGATCAGAGACCTATGAACAAACACATGGATGCTATTTGGGGATTCAGTAAACACACTGGGGAAGGTTGTGATTCCACAAGCAGATTGCCTGGGTTCGAATCCTACCTAGTCCAGTGCCTGTAGCTGGGTGACAGTGAGAAAATGGTTAGCTCTCAAAGCCTCATTTTCTTATATATATGAGCTATTTTGAGAATTAAATAGTACAGAGATCCTTGGCATGTGATAGACATCCAGTAAACATTATCCTTTGTTCTTCTTGGCCATTCTAAGATTATGGCTTCTCAGTACCTGCAGGAGGCGGCCAGTGTTCCTGGCACAGGTGAGGGGTAAATGATTGCAGTAACAGGCTTCATTTAGGAGAATAATGAGCCTTTTGTTATCCTTAACTTGTCCAACTGTCACAGCTCTTGCCCTCCCCGGAGAATGTTTCTGTCAAAATCTTTTATCCTCAGGGATTCATGACTCAGCAGATTTTTCTGGAATTGCCATTCAGAAGCTCTGACACCCAGCAAACAAAACAAAACACAAGCTGTTCCTCCACCAGTCAAACAGAATCCACCTTTCAAGTTGAATTGCTATGGAAATTTGAACTTTTATTTTTTTGCCTTAAAAGTTTAAGGTGAGCAGCTCAGAAAGTGGGCTTGAAATTGGGTAGAAAGGAAATTAACTTCTGGGATTCTATTCTCAGCAGATTACAGTGACATTACTTGCTTTTTACTGCATGTATTTTTGTCCTATAGAGTCATTTACTTTTAATGCTTTCTCCTGGCAAAAAAGAGAAATATATATTTTTTCTCAGTGGTATTTTTTATCATTCTAATTTGTTATGTATGACAGCAGAATGCATTACAATTCATATTACACACATAGAGCACGATTTTTCATATCTCTGGTTGTATACAAAGTATATTCACAGCATTTGTGTCTTCATACATGTACTTAGGGTAATGAGGTCCATCTCATTCCACCATCTTTTTTACCCCCATGCCCCTTCCCTTCCCCTCCCACCCCTTTGCCCCATCTAGAGTTCATCTAATCCTCCCATGCTCCCCCTCCCAACCCCACTATGAATCAGCCTCCTTATGTCAGAGAAAACATTTGGCATTTGGTTTTTTAGGATTGGCTAACTTCACTTAACATTATATTCTCCAACACCATCCATTTACCTGCAAATGCCATGATTTTATTCTCTTTATTGCTGAGTAATATTCCATTATGTACATATACCACATTGTCGTTATCCATTCATCTTTTGAAGGGCATCTAGGTTGGTTCCACAGTTTAGCTATTGTGAATTGTGCTGCAATAAACATTGATATGGCTGTGTCCCTGTAGTATGCTGTTTTTAAGTCATTTGCGTATAAACCGAGGAGTGGATAGCTGGGTCAAATGGTGGTTCCATTCCCAGTTTTCCAAGGAATCTCCATACTGCTTTCCACGTTGGCTACTCCAATTTGTAGTCACACCAGCAATGTATGAGTGTGCCTTTTTCTCCCCATCCTCACCAACACTTATTGTTGCATTATGAGTTTTTTGTCTTAATTAGAAAGGACTTCTCCACCCCAAGATTATTTTTTCTTGTTAATTTTTTTCATTCAAATAATATTTTTAGTTTATTATGTCAGGTTTTGTCCCATACTTTTTATTGGTGTATTACAGGTATTCATAATGATGGGATTTGTTGTTACATATATGTATATGCAC